CTCAGCCCTTCTCGCCCGCTCCTCTCCCGCAAGCTGGAAGGGCTTTTTCAGCAGGGTTAGCAAGTTTGGAAAAGGTGTTAATTGTGTCTAACACACACATCATCCTTGGGGCAGTATTCTGTATCACACTGTCTATCAAGCTAACCTCTTGTCACATGTCAGTATTTTTAAATTGTAACTTATTTAAAAGGGAAACAAGGAGTTTTAAAGATAGCTGGTGGGGAGACATGAGTTTAAGAGTGCTACTAAAAACTAGGAGGCTTTGAAGCCTACTGGAAGTAAGATGAGCTCTGATTTCTGAAGGATATCACAATGTTTTATATGTTACTAACGCCTATTATTAATTTTTCAAATTACTATGTGATTTATCAGTAGCTCCAACTTATTTTTTAAGATACAATACACAAGAAATGATATAAAGTCCTTAAGATAGGACATATTCTTTGCATGGATATACAAAAAACATAAAAGCAGATATACACCATCCCAAACAATGCATATGATTAAATAGGTAGTGAGGAAATATCAATTTTTTGACTCAGTGACTCTAAAGAATTTTGAGAATGCATTTAAGAGAATCATTTTCTTTGTAGTATATAAAGAATTATTTGTAATTACCTGCCTAGAATGAGTTGCATAAGAATAAAAATTTAGCTTTGTAAGCAGAACGTATCCTAGGGAATAGTCTTCTATTAACATATTGAATTTTTTTTTCAAAATCAGTGAATGAAACTGACCCAGAGGTCTCATTGTAATTTCATATTAAATGTGGAAAAAATTCAGTTTTGCTCCCTACATTAAACCTTGCATGCCTAAATGCTGCTTTCAATTTATTAATAGTTGTATGTCTGGGCCTTTTCTTTGTGCTATCCAGCAGAGGATTTCAAATTATTGAGAGTTTATCATGACAAATGCATTTGTATTTGTTTTCTTAAGAATTATTTATTTTATTTTATTTGTTATTATTAGTTTTTAAATTTGACCAGAGAGAGACAAAGAGAGAAAGGGAAAATGTGAAAGCAAGTCACCGGGTCTGGGACTTGAACCATGGTTAGCCATGTGGGAGTGCAGCACCTTAATTACCATGCCACCTGCCAGCTCCAGTGATTTTTTTTTAACAAATTTTATCTTTTTGAGATATAAGGGTTGATCTACTCAGATACCTTTCAAAAATATGTTTTGCTGTTGTAATTCGTTTATTGGTTGGCTAGTTCATTGCATCAGAGTCTATGCCATCAGTTTATTGAAACTAAGTTAGTGGTTAGCTGAATTCAAGAAGAGTCCATTTCAAACTCATAAATTCTTCAGTTGCCTCTCCCAAGAGCAAAAGTAATTCTGTAAGTTAAAAATAATTTAACCAAGATTTTCTTGAAAGTATTTAACACTATAGCATAACACATAAGAATACATTTTATCTACTGTAAATATAAAAATATTAATAGTTGTTATGCCTTTCATGCCTCTGGATATTCCTGAGAGAAAAGTTTTTAAAGCCTATATTTGTGAGAGCTAGTACTTATTAAACTATAGTTTAATACATTTATTTTAGCATTTAATGTTGTAAGCCTTAACTTTCTTTTTCTTTTCCTATTTTTATAGCGCAGCAGCAGTTTTGGAAATTTTGACCGTCTTCGGAATAATTCCATGTCAAAAGCAGATGATTCAACTGAGGTAAGTATTTTATTCTATTTGTAAAATGTATGAGATCATCTTATGAAAAATTATGACAATATCTCTTTTGCAAATTACAGTGATAAAAATAAATATGTTTTAAAATCATAGTGTTACACATATTTTTGTGATAAATGAATAAACAATTATTTAGTACCATGCTGGCTATTATCCGGGCCATAAGTGATGTGGCAGTTACATTGCTAGTCTCCTACATGGCCGACCATTTTGAGTCCCAGACCTAGCAGCTTAAAACTCACAGCCAGAGAATGTGCATGTGTGCCCAAGATCCCGGGAGGAGAATGAAGAAGGGATTGCCGTGTGGCCATCACCCATGCCCCAGAGGATGGTTTCTCACTCTCTCTCTCTCTCTCTCTCTCTCTCTCTGGTAAGCACATGTATCCTAAGGCAAAAGTCTCTAAAATTTTTTTTTAAAAAAGGGTAAAAAATCTAAGAAGCCTACCAGATGTTTGGGAAGGCAGAACATAAAAGATAGTTACAATGAAAAACAACACTGTCTACTTCTAATTTCCTGATATTAATATATATACACATACTTTACCAAATATATTACTATAATAACTACATAAAGACGGAATCAGTTGCTTGGTGGCAGAAAAGCCAACCTCTGTACTACAAGGAGTGTCAAGGAGGAAGTTATTATCATGGGTGACATTGGTGGGGAGATGGCTAGGTTTCCTCAAAACACTGTCACCCCAAATATAATCAGGTATGAGCTTTTATAGAGGAGTAATTCCTACTCAAAGTATTCAACCACATCTTTGCACACAAATAAAGGATTGCAACTTTTGCAGCTCTGACTAGTTAACTCAAGAAGTTGTCCCACTGGTCCATTATTGAAACCAGTACTGTTTCAGCCATCATGCACACTCCCTCCCTGCAGGTGGGGTCAACCTTAGGTCACTCGTGTGCATGCACCCTCTAAGCAAACCTACAAAACAGCACTGGTTCTCTCTCTCCCATCCAGATTAGTTCTAGACAGTTACACACACACACACACATTGCTTTATGTAAATTGAAATTGCTCTAAGTTAGGAAATGATTAAGTGACAATTATAAATTTGTTACGAGCATATGGCTATTCAATTGTACTCTCACACTTTTACTATGTACATTGAAATATCTCATTGGTAATTGTTACATACACATTTGTAAACTGTGAACGCTTTAAATGTAGTTTGAGAAAAGTTTTCCATAAAATAAAATGTACACAATAATAATACCAGTAATACTTACATTTAATTGAGCACTTCATATGAAATAAACACAATACTAAACACTTTCCCTATCAATAACATAGGAACAATAGTATTCATATTTCTTTTTCACTGTTGAAAAAAATATGCTTGCTTCACTGAATAGTTTCTGCACAACTGTAGTTAGGAAATGACTAAGGCAGACCACAAGAATGGTCTCTGACTACAAAGTTTGCTATTCTGTTCTACTATTCTCATAAACTATGGGCTACCTGTGCTAAATGATTGATGAATGCGTAAATAATAGAATAATAGAGACAGGGAAAATAGACTGAGAATATATTTTTATCATTTAATCCAAATCGGTGACCTTACGGTCAACAACTTTTTTGATCTTATACATATATTTTGATGTATCTATTTATAACATTTAAAAATATTTTATTTCAAACAAAGGTAATGGACATAAAATGACTTCTATTATTAGTTTATAAGTATCTCCATTCATGCATAAATATGCATCTGTGTATGTATATCTCCTTTTACCCATTTATATATATTGTATTTCCCTTTATTTCCATCCACACATGTATGTGTTTATAAATGCATGTTCATGTATAACTTAAATGTAGCTATATAGCCTATCAAAACTTACACAATTATAATAATACAATGTAATATGTGTTAACAGTAAGATTTTTTATATAATATTATTTTCAGTAGACATTTTACATAAACCTTTAAGTCATAGTCACAGCTTATTATATTGTTAGTTTATAATTCTAGAATTAGCCTATAAAAATAGCTCAGGCTTATTGAATAATAATGGTGACCTAAACACTTACGAAGGAATTATGGAACCTGATCAAATAGTTTGCATATATTTTAGAAACCTGGTATTCATTCATTTATTCAAATGCCTACTCTTGAATAAGTGGATTTTTCTCAGACACTTAGGAAGGACTACTGCAGTAAGAGATGAAAATTCTTACTTCATGAAGGCTGGAATCTAGAAATAAACACAAATCTTAAAAAGGCAGCAACAATGACAAACCTGCAAAAAAACTCTAAATAAAATTGATTCTGGCTATAAGAAGTGGCAGAGAACTTTTAAAACTCCAAAGAAATGGACATAAATTCTTTGAAACTTGGGTAAACAATGACAGAAAACCTGAACAATATCTGTAGGAGTTTGTTTGTTTATTTGGAGTTCAGGTCATTGTAAATTAACACCTGTAGTAAGAAAATCAGATATTTTTATTTTAATTAGCTAATTTTACAGTGAAGTCTGTAGAAAGTTTAAGTAGAAAGAAGAGAGAAGAAAAGAAGCTAATTCTAAAATTTTAAAGTGCTTTCAAATTACATTTTATTTGGGGCTTTTGAATTAAGCAAAGAATCTTTGCCTCTATAACCTTGAATATAGGAATTAATAAAGTGCAATGAGGGCATAAATTGGCTGTTCATTCATATTTGTCATAGGCAATTTGGGGTAAAATATAAAGTAAAAAATAATATTGATAAATAACGATGTTAACTACGTGGTTAAACTTTCATGTTAAAATATCCAAGTTCATGTAAGAGAAATTTCGCATTGTTTTTTATACTGAGGAAATGATTGGCTGTCAGTCTATCAGAAATGGTGGGCAGTGGTAAACTAGTGCCCTTCATGTGTCCCGTCTTGCAAATCTGAGGTGGTAAGGATGTGCAATCTAAACATGCCCTCTAATAAAACAAAGCCAGCAGGTAGCATAGTGGTTAAAACACTGTACTCTCACATGTTTGACTATGGTTCAAGTCTTGGACTTGGTGTCTTGAAACTCACGCTGGGCCCATGTGGGTACATGTCCAAAATCCCAAGAGGAGAACGGAGGAGAAGGAATTGTGGCATGACCATCCTCTCTGAGGGATGATTTCTCACTTTCTGTGTCTCTGTCTCTCTCTGTTCCTTTAGTGAGAGCATGTGTCCTATAGAAAAATCCCCCCCCCCAAAAAAAAAGAAAGGAAGAAAGAAAGAAAATCTTGCTGCAAATTTCTTCATGAAAAGTTTCAAGTATTTAAAAACTATCAAGTGCCAGTGATAAGCTTGGAACTATTCTAGATACTCGGAACAAATAAAGCAGATAAAATGTCTAGCCTCACGGAGAATATATCATAATGGGAGGTTCAGATAAAATCTAACAGACATATGTATTACCTGGTCGTGTTAAGTGCTTACAAGAAGAAAAAAATCAGGGTAAACAAAAAAGAAATATAGTCAGGAGTGAGGGGTGATTGATCTGAAAACTTACTTGACTCGTGAGTAAAATCCTGGATGACGTAAGGCAAAATTGTATGATATCTAGGAATAACCAATGGCAAAAGGAAAGAATAAATCTCGATAAGGACCTGATAGAAAAATAGTAAGGGGGCTGGCATTGTAACACTTTATTAGAGTTATTTTCAAACTTATAGCAAGTATCAGAATCACTTGAAGAACTCAACAAAACACATTGTTCCCAAGTGAAGCTGCTGCTGCTGCTCAAGGGACCATGCACTGGGAATTACTGCTGTGGTGAGCAAGAGAGATCTAAGAAGTAGCTAGAAATATCTTATGTCACATAGAATCCGCAATGCAACAGACATCACATTATAATAAATAATAAATACACCACATTATTTTGGGTTGTTATAGGGTCTTGTGGAATCTGAGTCAGATGGGAAGCTATTGGTTTAACACAATTTCTAAGCACAGACAGAAGCAGTGGAAATAAGAAATTTGATCAGTATAACATGTGAATTAAATGGAGATTCCTGTATTAATGACTGAAATCAGATTATATTCAAAATTGACAGAGAATGTGGGAAATGCGCCTGTTAAGATAAACAACAACAACATACAGTTTCTGAATGGGTTTAATTAAAGCTAAAACTCAAAAATAACTAAAATAATGGCTCAGAAATAACTATGACCATCTCAATTTCTATAAGAAGGAGGATATTTTAATGCCTATTTATCATGAGATTTTGTCTTTTGGAATTATTATTGGTACTGGTAACCAGGACTGAGCAACTTCCAAATATTATGGACAGACTGTTTGAAATTTTGGAGGCCCCTGTTTAGAATGTACAGTAAATCTGTAAGGTTGAATCTGCTCACTTACAATGTTTTCAGAGCAATGCTTACTATTGCCTTACTAGTTTGTCTCACATAAATAATCCCAAACTAGGTACATGAAGGGGAACCCATAAGTGAAACTGAAGAACAAAATAAAACTTCAAATAATGGAAGAAGTTTGGGTAAAAAAATGAGAGCCATTTCATGGACGATGAAGAAAAAAGTGGGTAAAAAGTACATCAAAGCCCTTTCTGAGGAAAAGGTCAGTGTTTTCTGTAATCATTTGTATTTTTGTATTAAACTTTTCTTAAAATATTTGACAGGTTGTTTTTGGAAACAGATACCAGTACTTGTGCTTTATGAACTACTTAAACATCTATTTTCTTCTTCGGTCACTATGCCCAAAGTTAAGCAAAAGAAAGTATTACCATATTACTACTGTTTTATCAGGAGAAACAGGTTCAGGGGCTGGCTCCATGTCCTAGTGGTTAATGGAGGTGAATTCTGCCTAGCTGACTATGGTTTGAATCTTGGCCTAGTCCTTAAAAAACATGCTGAATGCACTTGTGAGTGACCAGAATCCCAACAGGATGTGGAGGAGAAGGGATTATGGCATGACCACACTCCATTGGAGGATGCCTTCTCCCTCTCTTTCTCTGTATTTCTCTCTTTCTTTCCTTCTCTCTCTCTCTCTGAAGAGTTGCACACACCCTCTAGTAAATAAATTAGAAAAAGAAATGGGCTCAGAAAGATCATGTATCTAGCACAAAGAACAAGATATCATTTATGTTGTAGCAAGTATGAGTATGTCATTCCTTTTTGTTGCCAGATCATATTTTATTTTATAGATAATCACATTTATTTGTTCATCAGTTGAAAATAAATGCATGTTTAATTGTTTCTACTTTCTGGTTATTATGAATAATGCTGCTATAAACATTTGTGGATAATTTTTGTGTGGAAATATTTATTCATTTCTTTTGAGGAGACTTCTTGTATAATTTTTAAAAGATGGCAAACTATTTCCCAAAGCAACTGCATCATTTTATATTCTCATTAGCAATGTATGAGGATAACAATTTCTCCACTACTTTGTCCACATTTGTTATTTTCTGGGTTGTTTTGTTTTGTTTTGTTTTAATGCTGGCCCATCTTAACAGATGGAAGGTGAAATCTCATGGTGGTTCTGGTATCCATTTCCCTGATGATTAATCATGTTGAGGATCTTTTTCTGTGCTTATCGGCCATTTCTGTATCTTTGTGGAGAAATGTTTACTCAAATCCTTTTCCCATTTCTCATTTTCTCTTTTCCATCTGTTTTATTGTTGAGTTTTCATTTTACTTACTTCTTTATAGAAGTCAGTCATTTATCAGATATGTTATTTGTAATGTGAAATATTTTTCTCCTGTAGACTTTTTTTACTTTTTTTAAATTTCAATTTATTTATTTGCATTCATTCACTGTACATTATTACAGCATACAAAATGAGATTTTCCATCCAGAGTACACTGTATATTATCTCAATCAAGCACATCAACAAACATGTTATTGTCAGCAAATGATCTTCCATTTCTTGTTTTCTGCATGTTTTGCTTTTTCCCCCCATCCTTGGTTCCCTATCTCTTACCCTCTGGCATCTCCCACTCTCCTCCCACACTGTCTCCAGTATTCTATGTTTGCTTTCTATACTGTTTTCCCCCCACATTTTATTGAATCACCAAAGACCCTCATCAATCCAAATACCCTCCTAGCAAACACAGGTGACACACACATTTCCATGAACACAAGTCTAACTTTAAGCATCCTATAAAGTAGCACCTAGGGCTACATATCATAATGCAGTCATTGAATAGATATATTTATTTTTCCTGAAACTTTTTTTTTGTAACTCAATTTACATTCCTTCCCTAAGCATCATCACAGCACACAAAATGCAATCTCCCATCCAGTACACACTGCATAGTGACTCGATCATGCACATTATAAAAAATTTTCCATTTCTAGTTCCTATAATTTTTTCCACTCCTATTTCTGACCCCCTGTCCCTTCCTACCCTCCTCTTACACCACTTCTGGTGTCCACAATTGTCCTTCATTCCCTTCCCACCCACATTGCATTGATCACACAATTTCCTACATAACCTAACTACTTTCAATGGTGAGTTCACTCA